TTAATGTATGCTAAACTGATCTCTGTATATAAAGAAGAATCGAAAATGAATCCTCATTGTGAATGGAAGGGAGAGGGAGTGGGAAAGGGGAGGGTTGCGGGTGGGAGGGACGTTATGGGGGGGAAGCCATTGTAATCCATAAGCCATACTTTGGAAATTTATATTCATTAAATAAAAGTTAAAAAAAAAAAAAAAGAGGTTTAGTTTAGTCAGTTCACCAAAATGAAAGCAATTACAAAACTATTTTTCCCATCTAGAAAAACATTAAAGACCAAGAGAAGTTTTAATTATGAACAAATTAATAAATTTTCCACCAAATTCTGCTTACCTTATGTAGCATTATTGCCACAAACACGATTAACTGGACACTAGTCTGTGAAGTAGAAGCTGCTGCTCCCAAAGCAACACCATCAGCTGAATTTAGAAAAAAAAGAAACATAAAATACTGTAAATAACAACAGTGTAGTGGCTGCATGTGCAGGCTTAGGGTCAGGTACAGCTGGATTTGACTCTGGAAAGCTGGGTTCAACAAAGTTATGTATTTCTTAGGGTTTTCATGAGGGTTAAATGAGGTCTCATATGTAAAGAGCTCAGCCCTGACCCAGAGTTTCCCATATGTTATTTTTGTGTCATTAACAGAAAAAGTATGATGCTCAAAAATCCATGGCTAAATTGTAATAACAGAAATGCCAAAGAAGAATTTCAAAGGCAGCATCTCTTCATGATACAGATGAGACAAAATAAAAACTGAAGGACCCTACAAAGATGATCCCTACACAGTGAGTAGATACTGGTTGAATGGGAGAAGTTGACTGGGAAAGCGTGCTACTCTACAAGTCAGCACACCAGTGTGCCACCTTTCACACGCCTTTGCTTGTCACTTACTGAGACAGTCTTTCTCCTGGGACTAGGTTTCAAGTTAAATTCTGAACTGTGCCCCATCAGTGACGCTGAGACTTCTCCATTTTATAGACCTCATATGCTTAAACTGCAGCTTCAGGCATGCACTGGGCAGCGAGACTGCTCAGCACTGAAGTGCCAAGAATCTCGTCTCCATGAGGTTCTAGAGCAGCAGTCAGCACACTTTTTCTTGAAGGGTCAGACAGTAAATATTTTAGGCTGTGTGAGGCTGCTTGGTTGCTTGCAGCTAACCTCTGCTGTTGCTGCACAAAAGCAGCCACAATGCAGACATTTGGCCTGTGGGTAAGTTCCTGCCACAAACCAGAGTGCCGGTGTTCAGTTCCCCTCTTGGGCTGCTGATGCCTACTATCCACATGGGAGACCTGGATCGACTTCTCAATTCCTGGTTTTGGCCCCAGCCCAGCCCCAGCCATCATGGACATTTGGGGATGAGCCAAAGAATACATTGTTTCTAAACAATACACAAACATGTGGACCTAGCTGTATTCCAATAAAACTAATTATTGAATTATGAAACAGTCTTTTTTTAAAAATTAACCATTAGAAATAATAGAAACCATTCTTAGCTTGCAAACTCTGACACTGAGTACACAGGGTTTGTGCTGGAGGACTTCATTAAGCAACCTTTCCCAAGGTCAGCCCAAAAGCATTCTCTGCGGGTGGTCCTTGTGACACAAACACAAGCCTTCTCCGGGTGACCAAAACCCACAAGGTTTCACTGTAATTCAACCCTACCTGCAGCATGGACGACCAGACCCAGGGTGGTGGTGATTTTGGAATTGCTAGGCCTTGGGGTTTCTGGATCTGGAGTGAAAATGAGAAGAACAGCAATAATGTGAGACAGAAACTGAACGTCGGTCTGGAAGGTGGAAGAATTTTCTGAAAGCTCTTAAAGTAGATTATTACTTTCCTTACTGCTGTCTCTTTCCTTTCTCTTTCAAACACTTAGATATCTCCCCTGCTCTGAAGAGGAGGGCAAGAGGAAACTCATTTGACCCAAACTTCCTTTAGCAAATAAACTCATGAGATGCATAACCCAGCTGCCAACTCCCTCACACCGTGGGTCTCCTCCTTCTCCAGTGAAGGTGCTCTGTGGCCTCAGACCACTTCTCTTCAACCAATCTAGTCATCAGTCTACATCTTCCTCTTTTCCAGTCTCCCGAAACTTTTATTCTAAAATCTGTCATATTTGCCTTTCTTCTTGTGATTGCCACCATCCTAACCTAAATTTTCATCAACTCAAACCTAAATTAGCAGTAGGCTCCCCTGGGTTTCCTCTTATTTTTCCCTAATCTAATTCATCCTACACGTCCCTGTCACATGCATCTTTCAGAGCCCCACTCTTGTGATGTGTCAGTTAACTAGTTAAGAATCTGCTGCTGGGGCTGGCACTGTGGCACAGCAAGTTAATGCCCTGGCCTGAAGCACCAGCATCCCATATGGTTGCCGGTTTGAGTCCCGGCTGCTCCACTTCCTGTTCAGCTCTCTGTTATGGCCTGGGAAAGCAGTAGAGGATGGCCCAAGTCCTTGGGCTCCTGCACCCACGTGGGAGACCCGGAAAAAGCTCCTGGCTCCTGGCTTTGGGCTGACGCAGCTCCGGCCGTTGTGGCCATCTGGGGAGTGAACCATCGAATGGAAGACCTCTCTCTTTCTGCCTCTCTTCTCTCTGTATAACTCTGATTTTCAAGGAAATAAATAAACCTTTAAAACAAACAAACAACAGAATCTGCTGCTTTTCAAGTTCAGTCCCAACTGCTCTACTAGGTAGGTTCTTAAGCCCTTTATCAACTCATTTCACCTCGCTTTTCACTACCCAGTCCAGTTAAACCAGTTTAACACCTTCTTACAAAACAATCTCATTTTCCTTTTCCCAAATCGTCTCACCCCTAATTCTTGGCATTTACTCAGTGTTCCATCTGGTAGATCCAAAACCTAGACATTGTTCCCAGTCTAATCCTAGGACCACCATCCCTAAGACAGAATCAAAGATTAATCCCAACTCAGAACAACTCCCCTTGAGATGATGGTTCAGTGTAGCACTTAAGATGCTGCTTGGGGAGCCAGTACTGTGGCACTCGTAGTAGCTAAGCCACCTACAGCACTGGCATCCCATATGTGCACCTGTTCGAGTCCCAGCTGCTCCCCTTCTGATCCAGCTCTCTGCTATGGCCTGGGAAAGCAGTAGATGGCCCGTGTGTGTGGGCCCCTGAGCTCGTGTGGGAGACCCAGAGGAAACTCCTGGCTCCTAGCTTTGGATTGGCCCAGCTCTGGCCATTGCAGTCATTTAGGGAGTAAACCAGCAAATGGAAGACCTTTTTCTTTGTCTCTCCCTCTCTCTCTCTCTGTGACTCTGCCTCTCAAATAAGTAAATAAAACCTTAAAAAAAAAAAATGCTGCTTGGGAGACCTGCATCCCATTCTGGAGGGTCTAGGTTCCAGTTGCAGCTCTGCATTCAATCCCAGCTTCCTGTCAATGCACATCACAGAAGGTAGCAGATAACAGCCACGTACTGGGTCCCAGCCACCCATGTAGGAAATCCCGACACAGTTCCAGGCTCCTGGCTTTAGCTTGGCCCAGCAGCGGTTTGTTGCAGGCATTTGAGGGGAGTGAACTAATGAATGTAAAAGTACAGATTGACTGTACTTTTCTTTCCAACATGTCTTACAGAATGTAGCACAGTACGGAGCACCCAACAATGCTGCTTACTAAATCTTTGTTGGAGGGTACAAAGATTTAATGTTTATAAGTATCACATGAAGATTTTAATAAGCAAGTAAATAATACACATATGATGTAATGTGAAATGAAGGGGACATCAAAACGCCAGGTCAAACGACAGACAGGCATTAGTCAAATAAATTCCAGGGGATTTAATCCTTTTTTATTCCCTTTTTAAAATTTTTTTTCCAGGCCCGGCGCTGTGGCGCAGTGGGTTAATGCCCTGGCCTGAAGCGCCAGCATCCCATATGGTCGCCGGTTTGAGACCTGGCTGTTCCACTTCCTGTCCAGCTCTCTGCTATGGCCTGGGAAAGCAGTAGAAGATGGACCCAAGTCCTTGGGCCCCTGAACCCACATGGGAGACCGGGAAGAAGCTCCTGGCTCCTGGCTTCGGATCGGCACAGCTCCAGCCGTTACGGCCATCTGGGGAGTGAACCATTCGATGGAAGACCTCTCTCTGCCTCTCCTCTCTGTGTAACTCTGACTTTCAAATAAATAATCTTTAAAAAAAAATTTTTTCCTTTTTTTGTTTTTTATTTGTATTTCATCTTCTTGAATAGCCTAGTATACTGAAAGAAAGGTTTATAATGGAAAAGGTGGATAAGTAAAGTAATATGCCACATTTTATTAATAAAGTTTATCTTCCTGTTAGTTAAAGGCCCTGCTTGCCCTAAGCCAACAAATATTTCAATCTCATTCTGAACTGAGAGGAACATATTTCTTACTATATGACAAGCTTGTTTTGGCCTTTCTTTTTACATAGCCTTGTGATCTAGTTATAAGTAGCATCTTAAATAAAAATTAAAAGCTTTGGAATGAAAACATTTTTCATGTCTATAGGAAGAGACTACTTCAGCATAAGTTTACCAAATGAATTAACTTTTACTAATATTTGGTAATACATAAAACCCTTTAGAGAAGAGGCAAACCATCAACAGACACAGGAAAGTCAGCAACAACAGTGACCTTGGAGTTGAATCAGGAGGAAGAATAGAGAACACATGCTACATTTAATTATTTGTATAGGATTACAGGGCACTCCTGGGCCTATACATCTTAAATTGAAATAGACAAGAATTACAAGAAAAATGTCACAGAGGCCACTGTGGGCAACTAAGTAATGGAGCTGGAGTGAGACACCATCCAACGGAAGGTGTTTCTCATTTGCTATTTGGACTAAAACACATGAATAAAACCATTCATTCCTAACTCAAGTCTCCTAGGTCAGACTTAATTTAAAAGCTGATGGAAAACTTTATTAAGTGAATGAAGGGATGTTGGGCCTGTGTTGTGACCAAGTGAGTTAAGCTTCTGCCTGCAATGTTGGCATCCCAGATGAATGCCAGCAAAAGCCTGGCTGCTCCCTGCCAATGCTCAGGAAAGCAGCAAAGATGGCACAAGTGCCTGGGTTCCTGCTACCCACGTGGGAGACTGAGATGGAGTTCCAGGTTGTTACATTTCCTTTGTCATCTCTGATTTTACTGATTTTGGTCTTTTTTCTCTCTCTGGTTAGTTGGGCCAATGGTTTATCAATTTTATTTTTCAAGAAACCAGCTCTTCATTTCACTGATCTTTTGTATTGCTTATTTGGTTTCAATCTGTGGCATAGTGAGTAAGCCTGCAGCTTGCGATGCTGGCACTCCATATGGGCACCAGTTCGAGTCCTGGCTGCTCCACTTCCAATCCTGCTCCCTGCTGACGCACCTGGCAGGGCAGCAGAGGATGGTCTGAAGTCCTTGGGCCCCTGTACCCATGTGGGAGGCCTGGATGAAGTTTCTGGCTCCTGGCTTCAGTCTGGCCCACTTCTGGCTATTGTGGCCATTTGGGGAGTGAACCAGCAGATGAAAGATCTCTTTCTCTACCTCTCTCTCTGTAACTCTTTCAAATAAATAAAGTAAAACTTAAAAAAGAGAGAGAGGGCTGGCGCCACGGCTCACTAGGCTAATCCTCCACCTGTGGCGCCGGCACCCCAGGTTCTAGTCCCGGTCGGGGTGCCGGATTCTGGCCTGGTTGCTCCTCTTCCAGTCCAGCTCTCTGCTGTGGCCCAGGAGTGCAGTGGAGGATGGCCCAAGTGCTTGGACCCTGCACCCACATGGGAGACCAAGAGGAAGCACCTGGCTCCTGGTGCGCAACACACTGGCCGTAGCAGCCACCTGGGGGTTGTGAACCAATGGAAAAAGGAAGACCTTTCTCTCTGTCTCTCTCTCTCAAACTATGAGGGAGAGAGAGAGATGCTCATTAAGATGCCCAACATCCTACCTACATCAGAGAATCATGCGTAACTCCACGCTCCGACTCCTGATTGTAGCTTCCTGCTAATCCAAGCCCTGGGAGGTAGTGGCGAGAGCTCAGTAGCTGGGTTCCTGGCTCCTAGCACTGCCCCCAGCTGGTGAAGGTATTTGGGGAGTGACTCAGTGGACAGGAACTCTGTTTCTTAAATAGAGAACAGCAACAAAAACAAAAACAAAAACAAAAAACCAAAAAACAAAAACTTTCTAGACTAAGGTTACTTCTGTTTCGTTTAAACTTGATCCTACAACTTTTTTTTTTTTTTTAAGGTTTATTTGACAGGCAGAGCCAGAGGGGGTGGGGCAGATATTCTATCTGCTGGTTCACTCCCCAAATGGCCGAAACAACGAGGGCCCAACCAGGTTAAAGCCAGGAGCCAGAGGCTTCTTGGGGGTCTCCCACTGGGGGTGCAGTAGCCCAAATACTTGTGTCATCTTCCACTGCTTTCTCAGGTGGATTAGCAGGGAGCTGGATTGGAAGTGGAGCAGCTGGGACTTGAACCAGGTGGCTTTACCTCCTATGCAATAATGCTAGCCCCATCCTACAACTTCTAAAAACTTCATTTGGAAATAATTTCAAGTCTTCAGAAAAGTTGTAAGGATAGTTTGAAATGTCATGTACCTTTTTCTCAGACTGAAATATTTTCTAACATATTGCCCCACTTGTTTTTATACCCATGCTTTTTTAAAATCAAAGAAATTGTTTTTAAATTTATTTGAAAGGCAGATACAGAGACTGACTGAGTTCCCATCTGCTGGTTTAGTCCCCAAATGCCTGCAATAGCCAGGGTTGGGCCAGGTGGAAGCCTGGAGATTAGATGGTATCAGGGATGGTATCAGGGACCTAAGTCCTTGAGCCATCACCTGCTGCCTCCCAGGGTGTGCATTACCAAGAAGCTGCAATCAGGGGTAGAGCTGGACTCAAATCGAGGCACTACCAAGTACATGCTCTCTCTTTCTCTATACACAAATGTTTGTTTTCAGGGCCCGGCGTTGTAGCATAGCAGGTAAAGCTGCCGCCTGCACTGCCAGCATCCCATATGGGTGCTGGTTTGTGTCCTGGCTGCTCCACCTCCGAGCAAGCTCCCTGCCAATGCACCTGGGAAAGCAGCAGAAGATGGCTCAAGTACTGGGCACTGTCGCTCCCCCTCTTCGTGGAGGAACGACACAGGACCCTGCGCTGTTCTTTCAGTCTGCTCGGCCTTCCCCGGGTTTGCTGCTGGTTCTTCCCGGGTTGGCTACTATCCCTTCCACCTCCGTGGAAGGGCAGTTCCCCCTGGCCGCATTCCCCACTTCCGCAGGGGAGCGGCACACCGCCGGCCAGCTTTCTCGGGGGCTGCACGGGTTCCCTTAGATGTTCCCCATAGATGTTCCTGGTGCATGCCGTCTCTCTCCTCCTTTATAGTCCTCCTCCGCCAATCCCAACTCGGCTGCCCACACGCCGAGTACGCTGCTCTCCAATCAGGAGCAAGTCCTACAGTTTATTAGTTGAACTGGAGGCAGCTGTGCGGAAGCTGTTTACTTCTCTCCCAGCGCCATATTGTGGGAGAGCAGATGCATAGAATAAGTCTTAATTCGAGTAACTTAGTCTAGTCCGGATTGCTCCCCACAGGGCACCCTGCTACCCACATGGGAGATCTGGAGGAAGCTGCTGGCCCCTGGCTTCGGCCTGGCTCAGCCCTGGCCATTGTGGCCATCTGGGGAGTAAATTAAGGGATGGAAGGTATCTTCCTATCTCCCTCTCTCTTTCTTCCTTTCTGTAACTCTTTCAAATAAATAAATAATTTATCTTTAAAAAAAAAAAAAAAAAAAAAAAAGGTGTTTCCCTGTACCACTAAAGAGTAAGTTGCATGCTTCACAACCTTTAACCCTATATACTCCAAAGTGTACTTCCCTAAGAGAAAGGCAATTTTCTTACATAATCACAGTATAATTATCAACTTCAGTGACCTGAACACTGACACTTCTCCTATTTCCTCTCATATATTCTATCAATTGCTCAATAATGTCTTTCAGAGCAGCTTTCTTTTCCAGGAAGAATCCAGTTTAAGATCACATATTGCACTTGGAGGTAACTCTTTAGTATTCTTTAATATGGAACATTTCCTTTGATTTCAACTTTTTTTTTTTTTTAAGATTGATTGATTTGAAAGAGAGAGAGAGAGAGAGACAGCTTTAGGTCATTCTCCAACATTGTTAGGTTGGATGATTTTTGCCAGAGACAGTCTTCATTTGGGAGCTGTAAAAATGAGGGTTTCCTAACGAGTATTCTTTTCACTTTCACCCACTGGCCTTTGGGATTCCACTGCGACAAGTGCTCTCCCTCCCTTTATCTATCCTCCATCTCTCTCCACCCATCGTTCACCTACCTGACGGTTGTACTCATGGAATTCCACTTTCTCAATGGCTGGTAACTCTATTACTGTTCATTGTTTTGAACCCAGATTTGATCAGTGGGAGTCTCTTTAAGTTGGCTCCTTTCTCTTGTGAACAGTTCCTATCTTCTTCCCTCGTTTTTTTGAGTACCAGATGCTCAAGGTCACTTCTACGCCCCCTGCCCCTGTCCCAGAATCACACATTTCTCTAAGAGCCCCAGTCTGCTCATGCTACTGGAGTGTCTGTACTTGGAGGCCCTGTCTACACAGAGCTAGGACATACAGCTGTGTGGACACAAACACACACATAGGTAGTACAGCTATATGTACATACATCTACATTCTAGAAATCCTGCACCCAAAACCTCCAACTCCAATCCAGCCCTACAGGAGTTCTTTCTTGCCTTTCTCCATTCCATACTCCCATGTTCCTTCTTCCACACAGAGAACGCTGCCTTCACCAACAACAACACATTTACTCATTTGCTCAACCTTGTAATACACCTAAAACTGTTTCAGAATTGTTTTGCCCATACCATTACAAAAAGCAAATCTACTAGAAAAGAGCAGCATTTGTTTATAGTTCTCTCCAAACCCTACCCAAGACTAAAAGTATAGAAGTACTACATTCCTAAGTTACTTGAATTACTTGTTTTTTAAATCCCTGCAGTGTAACTGTGTTATTCATTTGAAATACAGTTCATCTCTTTCAGTTTGCTTTCCTATCCTTGTTGACTTCATTCTGTCTTATGAGTAAGTAGAATAAGAACATGTCTCCAAAAGTCAAAACGATACCCAAAAGGCATGCTCTGGGGAGTGTCACGCCCTCCAGCCTACCCCATCCAGGGAAGCAAATGTCTCTGTTTCCCAGCTGACCCTGCTGTGGTCTTGGTTTCTTGTAATGATAAGCAGATCCATGTTTATTTTCTCCATACAAAACACAGTATGAATATACACTAGACGCTCACTCCATGTTTCCTTTTTTTCCACTTAACAATACCTCTGGAAACTGGTTCCTATCCATTAAGACCTATGATTCTTCATTCTTCTTTAAGCTACATAATGGAATACCATTATGTGTACATACCATGGTTCATTCAACCAGTCCAGGACTCTGGCTGAACTTGAGAGAAGCAAGCTACTATTATGTTTTAGTACATTTGTTAAAAAATACCTTTGTAAATCAGGATATTCTATATTACATTAGTAACCATTTAAAACACACACACATATAAATCAACTGGATGTTCAACTTGGCATAAACTTTTGCCTTGTTAACGATAACCTCATAATTTAATGTTCATAATCCTGCTAAGCAATAATAGCGATCAAACTGATGCCATAAAAACACAGTTCAACTCTGGCTTGCTTAAGGACTTAAATGCATTATCTCGTCACTTAATGCACTGATAAAGAAGACATACATCACTGTATTACAAATTTATTCTAATGTTTTGGCAAATATATGTCAACGTAATTGTTTTCTTTGTAATCATATTAATCATGCTTTATGAACTGAAAAACAATATTCCAATAAAAGATCCACAGGCTTTAGACTTCCTAAGGGCTGCACAGCCCCTAAACAGGTTAAGAATCTCTGCCCTCCCGTCACAAACAAGCAGAGTAATCAATCAATAAACACTTCCTTGTGCCACATCCACGCCTCACTAGCTCCCCCTGCTGAAAAAAAAAGTGCACAGGAGCCTTAGGAAAACAAAGTTTTATCACTCAATAAGGTCGCTGACACAGCCTGAATTATTCACTTCCCTGTAATGTTCTAAACTACACGTGCACTGCCTGGCCCAGCGAGGTCTGGAGCCACTCACCATCAGTAGAGTGCATGTGGGAGCTGCCAATCTGATCCACCAGCAACATGAACACGAAGCCCAGGACGAGGGAAACACCGATGTAGGCATGGAGCTGTGTGTGGTCGTGGCTATGCTCACGCTCATGCACGACTGGTATTTCTGCTGCTTTGTCTGACGCAATCACATTCTGTGTTTCGCTTGCTTGGTGGTGTTTTCCTGAAGCAGAACAAACCATAAAGAGAACCTTTGTCTTTCCTCTTAAAACATGCAAGAAGCATCACTCTGCTGTTTTTCAAGCTCTACTTACTTCACTGTAAAGATACCCATTTTCTAAACTGTAATCTGGACAATTATAAACTCCTCCAGCTTAAATTTCAAAATGAAAAAAGTTTCCAAGTGTCTTCTGCTTTTGGCAAGCAAGACCTTCTGACTGCTTATTGTTCTCAAAACCTGGGAAGTTGGCCGGCATTGTGGCTCACTAGGCTAATCCTCTGCCTGCGGCGCCGGCACCCCGGGTTCTAGTCCCGGTTGCGGTGCCGGATTCTGTCCCAGTTGCTCCTCTTCCAGGCCAGCTCTCTGCTGTGGCCCGGGAAAGCAGTGGAGGATGGCCCAGGTGTTTGGGCCCTGCACCCCATGGGAGACCAGGAGGAAGCACCTGGTTCCTGGCTTCAGATCGGCACAGTGCGCCAGCCGTGGCGGCCACTTGGGGGGTGAACCAACGGAAGGAAGACCTTTCTCTCTGTCTCTCTCTCTCACTGTCTAACTCTGTCTGTTCAAAACAAAAAACAAACAAACAAACAAAAAACACCTGGGAAGTGGAAGCAAATCACCATGCAAGAAAGCAGTCACATTCCCAGAAGCACTTCATTCCCAAACCCCTTTCTGTCTGAGAAATTCATGCCAATCTCATCAGAAACTCAGTAAGTTTTATTCTGATGAAAATAGATGAATGAAGAGCCATAATAATGAACAGAATTAAAATCAAACTAATCTAACTTAATATCTAGGTTGGTATAAAAATTTCAAATAAAGAACAAACTGAGCATAACATTTTCAGCTTTAAAAATATTGGAGGGCAGTCACTAACAAGAAATCAAAAGAGCTGGGCAGCTTGAGCAATACACCCTTCAGTCTAAATTCAGTTCCAGAAACAGAGATGGTTAGGAAACTGAATGTTTCAGTAAATGACCTCTGACCAAATTATACCTCTACTCTATATTCACTTATTTGACCCTGAAACATAAATGATTCAAGGCAAAAATCTTTATCTCTGCAGTATTTCATGAAGAGGCTAACACACTACACATTTATCATTTACAATTAGATAAATCAGCTTAACCTTTTGATTAGAGAAACCACATAGGGATCGATGCTCTGGTGTAGTGGGTAAAGCCACCTCCTGCAGCGCCGGCATTCCATATGGGTGCCGGTTCGAATCCCAACTGCTCCACTTCTGATCCAGGTCTCTGCTATGGCCTGGGAAAGCAGCAGAAGATGACCCAAGTCCTTGGGCCCCTGCATCCATGTGGGAGACCCGGAAGAAGCTCCTGGCTCCTGGCTTCAGATTAGCACAGCTCCAGCGACAGCGACCATTTGGAGAGTGAACCAGCAGTTGGAAGATCTGTCTCTCTCTGCCTCAGCCTCTCCCTAACTCTACCTTTCAAATAAATAAATCTTAAAAAAAAAAAAAGAAAGAAAAGAAAAAAAGAAACCACATAGACCTGTTTTAATATTTTAGAACCTATCTTACTGTTAAAATACGTTTTGAGGGGCACAAAGCAAATGTTACCTGAGGATAATAAAAATCTACTTCCTGGAAAATGCTTTTGTTTTGTTTCCATAGCTATTTTTTTTCTTTTTAACATTTATTTATTTATTTGAAAGTCAGAGTTACACAGAGAGAGGAGCGGCAGAGAGGGAGAGAGAGGTCTCCCATCCCCTGGTTCACTCCCCAGTTGACTGCAATGGCCGGAGCCAGGAGCCAGGAGCCTCTTCCGGGTCTCCCACATGGATGCAGGGGCCCAAGGACTTGGGCCATCTTCTACTGCTTTCCCAGGCCACAGCAGAGAGCTGGATTGGAAGGGGAGCAGCCGGGTCCCCAATTGGCGCCCCTATGGGATGCTGGAGCCTCAGGCCAGAGTGTTAACCTGCTACACCACAGCTCCGGCCCCTTTCTTATCTTAAAATAATAAAAAACACATATTTTAGCATTTACCATTTTAACCATTTTCAAGTAAATGGTTTAATAGCACTAAGTTCATTTACATCATTTTGTAACCATCACCAGAACCTTTCCACCCCTGAGAATTTTAATAAGAAAATTTTTTTTTCTAACAGAAATGTCATTTAACTTATTCCTAAATTAAATGCCCAAGTTTTTCTTTTTAAAGATATCAACTTCACTGGAGCATAATTTACATACAATAAAACAGAGTGAGTATCCACAAGTTTAAAAACTCCAGGAACTACCACCAAGGTGAAAACCGAGAACATTTAACTTATCCCCACAAGTTCCCTTGCATTGCTCTGCAGTCAGTATGCTACTCCTGGCACCAGGAAAGCACTGATCTGCTTTCTGTCCTGACAAAGTTTTCCCTGCTATAGGATCTCCTGTAAATGGCACCATGCGGCAGACATTTTGTGTCAGGCTCCTTTTGCTAAGCATTTTCTTTTCAGGCACATTCATGCTTTGTATGCATAGCAGTTCATATGTCTGTTTTTTTCTAAGTAGTGTGGCTTCATGTGGACATATCACAATCTGTTTATCCATTCACCTGCTGATGGACATTTGGGCTATTTCTAGTTTTAGTCTATTATCAATAAAGCTGATATTCAGGTGTAAGTCTGTGTGGACATTTTTCTTTTTCCTTGGGTAAACACCTAAAAGCAGAACAGACAGCTGATGTATATGTGTGGCTCAACAGGTTAAGCCTCAGCCTGTGACGCTGCCAGCCCACACACGCATTGGTTCAAGTCTCGGCTGCGCCACTTCTAATCCAGTCCCCTGCTAATGTGCCTGAGAAAGCATCAGAAGATGGCCCAAATGCATGGGGCCCTGCACCTACGTGAAACCCAGATGGAATTCCAGGCTCCTGGCGCCATTGCAGCCATTTAGGGAGTAAACCACTAGATGGAAGACCTCCCTCTCTCTCTGCCCCTTTCTGTAACTCTGCCCTTCAAATAAATAAATCTTAAACAAAATTGTCAAACTGTTTTGTACAGTGGTTTTTTAAATTAAATAATCCATTAATTTGAGAAAGAAAGCCTCTAATCACTGGGGTTGAAGCCAGGTGAAGAAAGGCCATCTAGGTCTCTTGTGTCGGGGGAAGGAATCCAATCCGGGAACCATCACTGCTGTCTCCTAGGGTCTGCATTAGCAGGGAGCAGGAGTCAGGAGCCAGAGCTGGAGCCAGAGATGAAGCTGAGGAATAAACCCAGGTCTTCCAATGTAGGACTCAGTAATCTTAACTGGTTCAACGCTAGCTCAATGCCAAATGCATGTCTCTGGCTGTACTATTTAACATATCTAGCAGCAATTTATGAATGTTCTGGTTACTCCATACCACTGTCACATTGCCAGGTTTTCAACTTTTAACCATTTTTATATACTCATCATGTCAACTGCAAAAAGATAGTTTTAATTATTTTTCTAGTCTTTATGCCTTTTACTTCCTTATTTGGCCTTATTGCAGGCTAGAATCTGGTTAGGATGTGAAATACAATGTTAAGTGTAAGAGGCTGAGAGGAGATAGCCTTGCTCTGTTCCCAGTGAAATCTGCAGGGTTTTCATATTTTCTCGAACTAAAAAGTTTCTTTTCTAGTTTGCTGAGAATGTTTTCATGAATGGAATCTTGATTTTGTCAAATGCTCTTCTGTACTAGTCCTCCACTGCCTACCCGGGCCACAGCAGAGAGCTGGACTGGAAGAGGAGCAACTGGGACAGAATCCGGCGCCCCGACCGGGACTAGAACCCAGGGTGCTGGCGCCGCAGGCGGAGGATTATCCTAGTGAGCTGCGGCGCCAGCCTACTATGCTGTTTTGATTACAATAGCTTCAATGTCTCCAATTTTGTTCTTATTCAAAACTGCATTGGCTTACATGGTCTTTTGTGGCTACTTAAGAATTTTATGATTTTTTTTCCTATTCTGTGAAAAATACCATTGGAATTTTGATAGGGATTGTGCTGAATTTTTAAACTGCTTTGGATAGCATAAATATCTTAATATTAATTCTTTCAGAGGCCGGTGCCGTGGCGCAGCAGGTTAAAGCCCTGGCCTGAAGCACTGGCATCCCATATGGGCGCCAGTTCTAGTCCCAGCTGTTCCTCTTCCGATCCAGCTCTCTGCTGTGGCCTGGGAAAGCAGTAGAAGATGGCCCAAGTCCTTGGGCCCCAGCACCCACATGGGAGACCTAGAAGAAGCTCCTGGCTCCTGGCTTCGGATTGGCATAGCTCTGGTCATTGCGGCCATCTGGGTAATAAACAAGTGGATGGAAGATCTCTCTCTCTCTCTCTACCTCTCTCTGTAACTCTATCTTTTAAGTAAATAAAATAAATCTTTAAAAAATATTAATTCTTTCAATTCATGAATATTGGGTATCTTATCTGTGCCTTCTTCAATTTCTTTCATTCATATATACAGTTTTCAGTATATAAATCTTTCACCTAGTTGGTTAAATTTATGCCTAAGCATTTTATTATTTTGATGCTATTATAAATGGATTGCTTTTTTTAATTTGTCAGTTCACTGTCAGTACATAGAAACAAAAATGATTTTTGTATATATGTTGATTTTGTATCCTGCAACTTTATTGAATTTGTTTATTTGTCCTAACAGTTGTTTGATGGAGTCCTTAGAGTTTATAAGATCATCTCTTCTGCTAACACAGACAATTTTACTTCATCCTATTTGATTTGGAAGCCTTTTATCTTTTTCTTGCCAGTTGCTATAACTAGGGCCCCCTTTTAATTAAACATATAGTAAAATAACAGAAGAATCCATAGATAATTGTACTTAAAAGAAATCCGACATGCGGCACTTGTAGAGAAACAGTAAAAATTTGTGAAAGAATCCACATTAAATTACTTTTAATTAAAGGTTTACTTATTTGAAAGGCAGAGTTACAGAGAGAGAGTGGGAGACAGAGACAGAGAGAGAGAGACCCTCCACCTGCTGGTTCACTTCCCAAATGGCCACAACAGCCAGGGCTAGGCCAGTTTGAAGCCAGGACTTATGAGCCAAGAGCTTCATCCAGGCCTCCCACTTGGGTACAGGGGCCCAGGCACTTGGGCCATCTTTCACTGCTTTCCCAGGGACATTAGGAGGGAGCTGGATTGGAAATGGAGCAGCTGGGACTTGAACCAGTGCCCACATGGGATGCTGGCATCATAGGCGGCAGCTTTACCATGCCACAATGCCGGGCCCCACAATGAACTATTTCTACAGTTTTGACAATTATCCAAACAGTTATGAATATGTCACATTCATATTTAGGTCTTTGACCCTGTAGTCTGCCTTTCCAAACACACGAATTCCAATAGTCCAAGGCATTATGATGGTCTCAAATTTTAGCTCCACCAAAACAAGCACTACATTAGTCAATACAAAAATTCTTAAAACCTGTTTCTACAGAAAGACAATTTTTTCAGATGAAAAATGATAATCATCTAATGATTTCAGAGCTATAATTATGAAAGTATGTGAGAGGTTCCTTTTCACATAAATCATATTTAATGCTTATTAAAAGCATCATAGTACTTAGTGAACATGGTATACCGAGCTCTGACTAAACACCTGCTAATTATCATAATTATAAGGTCCAGAAAAAGAGAAATCACAGGTTACAGTGACATGTAAACAAACTCCCTGAAGTTTGGATAAGTCAGTTTGACTTACAATAAAGAAAAGAGAAGAGAGGAGGAGTCTCTGGGTCTTCTGATTCATTGCTGTTTCCCTCTAAAGCTGCTCAGTCTACAGCCCCTTTGTTGTTTTGCAGACTCCTACAACTGTCATATGGAACCTGTACCACCACTCCCTGGCCGCCAAACACCACCACACCCATGTTCACACCTGAGGCTTAAGAATAAAAACATTCTGGGGGCCGGCGCTGTGGAACAGTGGTTTAACACCCTGGACCGAAGCACCTGCATTCTATATGGGCACCGGTTCGAGACCCAGCTGCTCCACTTCCAATCCAGCTCTCTGCTATGGCCTGGGAAAGCAGTAGAAGATGGCCCAAGTCCTTGGGCCCCAGCACCCACATGGGAGACCCGGAAGAAGCTCCTGCCTCCTGGCTCCGGATCAGCACCGTTCTGGCCACTGCTGCCAATTGGGGAGTGAACCATTGGATGGAAGACCTCTCTCTCTCTCTCTCTCTCTCTCTCTCTCTCTGCCTCTCCTTCACTCTCTATGTAACTCTGACTTTCAAATAAAAAATAAATAAATCTTAAAAAAAATAAACATTCTGGATAAAGCACAGTTCTTTTGTTCTAACAAGAGCTGGGAAATATGTATTTTTTGTATCTAGTAAGAGATGTGGACAGTGCCTACCTCAATACTATTCTTAACGTCCAGTATACTCGACATTTTAGAATTTGGCTCACTGCCAGTTGTGAATTCAGCCCCGTTGTGGATTGTATCCTTCAGATAACTAAAGTTTCGTCACATGTAATAATCTGATTTTGCTGAGTTCTTTGGTTTGGATGTTGAATGTCCCCCAAAAGCCCATGTGTTAAAGGCCTGGTTCCCAAGGTGTAGCTATTGGAAGGTGGTAGAAGCTTTGGGAGGTGAGGTCTAGTGGGAGGTCCCTAGGTCACTGGGGGTATGCCTTCTGAGGGGAGTTCTCATTGGAGGGTTGTCATAAAAAACCTAACTTTGGCCCCAAACCGTCTTTCTCTGCTTCTTGGCTTGCCATGTGATCCTTGCTCTCTGTATGCTCCACCCCTAGCCATTCTCCACCAGCCCTGGATATCTTGCAGAGGCAAAGCCTGCACCATGATGCCTGTACTCTGAACCTCCAAAACTGTGAGTTAAATAAATCTCTTTATCAGTAGTTTCTCTCAGGTGTTTCACTACAGTGAGGAAAAGCTAATATGCCGAGTCACACATGTGGCTCAAGCATGTTTTCAAGCTGGCATGAAGGACCACATTACTCAGATGGTGAGCTGACGACTGAGTATCTATTCTCACACCAATACACTATTCTCTATGCTTGTTGTTATTTATTTATTTATTTTGACAGGCAGAGTGGACAGAGAGAGAGAGACAGAGAGAAAGGTCTTCCTTTTTGCCGTTGGTTCACCCTCCAATGGCCGCTGCGGCCGGCGTGCTGCAGCCGGCGCACCGCGCTGATCCGATGGCAGGAGCCAGGTACTTATCCTGGTCTCCCATGGGGTGCAGGGCCCAAGCACTTGGGACATCCTCCACTGCACTCCCTGGCCACAGCAGAGAGCTGGCCTGGAAGGGGGGCAACCGGGACTAGAACCCGGTGCGCCTGCGCCGCAAGGCAGATTAGCCTAGTGAGCCGCGGCGCCGGCCAGCTTGTTGTTATTAAGGTCAGGAGACATCTCTTTGAATGTTTTAGTCCTTTACTGCATGGGTCCCTATGAAATTACAAAATTTACTATAAAGGGTCCTTGAATCCAAATGTTTATAGTTACACATTTTTTTTATTTTATTTATTTATTTTTTTTTTTGACAGGCAGAGTTAGACAGTGAGAGAGAGACAGGGACAGAGAGAAAGGTCTTCCTTTGCCGTTGGTTCACCCTCCAATGGCCGCCGCGGCCAGCGCGCTGCAGCCGGCGCACCGCGCTGATCCGATGGCAGGAGCCAGGTGCTTATCCTAGTCTCCCATGGGGTGCAGGGCCCAAGCAGTTGGGCCATCCTCCACTGCACTCCCTGGCCACAGCAGAGAGCTGGCCTGGAAGAGGGGCAACCGGGACAGAATCAGGCGCCCCGACCAGGACTAGAACCTGGGGTGCCGGCGCCGCTAGGCGGAGGATTAGCCTATTGAGCCATGGCGCCGGCCACACATTTTATTAAGAACACTAAAAATACAACCACAATCATGTGGGATTTAGGAAGTTTTTGAGTGGGAATTTTAAAAAGAACTTACATACCAAAAATGACTATAATCACTCTTTCCTGCAAATAAACATTAAAGCGTTCTTCATGAATTGGGTCATTCAATTCACAAACTGCTAAAGGTATATCTAATGGCAAATACATGAAAAGATTTCTCTTAAGAACTCTTCTCAAGGTAGAATTCCATGGAAGATAGGAACTGTTCTGAAAAGCAACCTCTAGGCTTATCCTGCCAACCCTCCAAGTCAAATGCATATCTCAGGTAAGCCTGCTTTCTTACCCTCAAGGACGTCTTCATACAGTGCGTGGACCCCTTCGGGCACGATGACCGCCAGGGCAGTTCCACAGAGAAGGCCAGCACCCAAAACAGTCACCAACTTCAGTCGCTCCTGGAAAGAAATAAAGGGAATTACTAAAAAGACTGATCAATGAATGGGACAAAGTTGCTGAAATATCTGTTATCAAGACTGAGCTGCTCATGTGTGGGACCACCATCCACACTAGCCAGTGAATATGAAAAACGGTCAGCTTCATTAATAATTAATGCCAATGTAAATAAGGAGATACCATCTTTTAATTGACCAGTTGGCAATGATGTGAGAAAACATCTATCCCTGATGGGGAGAAACTCGTCTGGCAGGAATGTGAATTGCTTCAACCTATCTGGACCACAATCTGGCAATACAGATTTAATGCCTCAAAAATGTGAATTCTTCGACTCACAAATTTTGCTTTCAGAAATCATTCTAAGAAAGAATTGTGGGCCGGCGCCGCGGCTCACTAGGCTAATCCTCCGCTTAGCGGTGCCGGCACACCGGGTTCTAGTCCCAGTTGGGGCGCCAGATTCTGTCCCGGTTGCCCCTCTTCCAGGCCAGCTCTCTGCTGTGGCCAGGGAGTGCACTGGAGGATGGCCCAAGTGCTTGGGCCCTGCACCCCATGGGAGACTAGGATAAGCACCTGGCTCCTGCCATCGGATCAGCGCGGTGCGCCGGCTGCAGCGCACCGGCCGTGGCGGCCATTGGAGGGTGAACCAACGGCAAAGGAAGACCTTTCTCTCTCTCTGTCTCTCTCACTGTCTAACTCTGCCTGTCAAAAAAAAAAAAAAAAGAATTGTGAAAGACAACCACTGTACTTATCACAAGTGCAAACCTGAAAATAACCTAAATGTCTAACAAAACAGATCGGTTAAATAAACTACCCATCTAATACTTCATCACAGCACAACAACACTCGGTCATTAACATGATGATGTAAAACCACTCATGGCCATAGAAAACCATAATACACGGCTATGAGGAAAGAGCTTATGTCAGACAATATATTGAGAATCTCATATTTATAAAAATAAGAATATATACAAAGTAGAACAGGTATACATTAAAAATTAACACAATTCATTATAGTTTACAACATATGTAATTATAGTTTATAATTTACAAAATATTTACCTACAATGAATATGTATTTCGTATTTCTCATATAATGAAAAAAATGTAAATGATAATAATAAAATTGTTCTTTGGCTTTAATCCAACTTAATCTCAATTGTTTTCTTTTTACCCGAGTTTCTTTGAGAGAATGTCTCCTGTTACACAAAATATGGACATCAGGTTTCAAAGTATCTTGAAACAGTAGTGTACCCTAGAATGGCATTCTGGGATCAAACAAGAATGAAAAATTATCTTAAAAACTACAGAGGGGCCGCCTCTGTGGCGCAGTGGGTTAAAGCCCTGGACTGAAGAGCTGACATCCAATATGAGCGCCAGTTCTAGTCCTGGCTGCTCCTCTTCCGATCCAGCTCTCTGCTATGGCCTGGGAAAGCAGTACAAGATGGGCCAAGTCCTTGGGCCCCTGCACCCATGTGGGAGACCCGGAGGAAGCTCCTGATTTCAGATTGGCGCAGCTCTGGCCACTGACCTCTCTAACTCTGTTTTTCAAATAAACAAAATAAATCTTTAATAAAAATATAAAAAACTACAGGGAGGTAGTTATATATGTTGATTATGGAAATGTTTCAATAATTTAACGGTAGATCATATACTTCATCTTCCTATTTTGGTTTCTTTTTTGAGGTTAGCAAGAGTAACAGTGGTTCTATTACCTCTGATACATTACTGAACTCCCAGCTGCGAAGCCTGGGGCTAACTAACTTCAACAAATTCTGTCTCTGTGGGGAAAAAGACAATCAGCTGAAAGGCTGGCTGCAACATCATGCCCTCTTCATCTGGGGGTTGGGGAGGAAGGAAGCCATATCTCACTGTACCTCTACTGAAAAAGGGAGAACTACATCGGTAATGTCAGCACGGACTAACGTTTGCTTCAGAGCAAGGGAGGAGTCCCAGGGTGCCCAGCACAGTGGCCAGCCATTAGCTATGCATGAACTCAGCGTATCCTGAGTGCACCCAGGGGCTAGGGAGACAGAACTGAGTCATGACCCCATCCGTTAACAACTCAGTACCTCAAGTTTTCTTCTGCGAAATCAAAGTATTTCTATCTTCTTGCGGACAGATAGGGGGCAACAGAGGACAAAATTTAAGCCTTCTGGAAAAATGGCACCAAACAACCATTGTTCCTATTTCATCTTTCAATACTGAGCCATTTGTCTTTTCCAAGTTACCAAACACTCCCTGAACACCGCCACTCACAGCATTCATTTGAGATAAACCATCAGATTAGGGGGAACACAACATGAAAGACAGCTCTATTCTGGCAGAAGGTGACATGGTAGTTAGTCTTTTCCTAAGGCTCTCTAAACAATTCATAAAAGTCTTAAAAATTCATGGATGCCTTTCTCTCTGTCTTTCCCTCTCACTCTCAAATAAATAAACTTTTAAAATTTGTGGACATAAAGTACCACTCCTAAGAACAGACAAAATCCAGGACACAACTGAACTGAACTGAGTATACTATTTCCTTTCAGGGACTTGTTTCATAACTTGACAATTCAAACTACTGAACAAACTGTTGAGGAAGAAAACTGTCAACATTTTTTTATAAAGATTTATTTATGGGGCTGGCGCTGTGGCATAGATGGTAAAGCTGCTGCCTGCAGTGCAGGCATCCAAAATAGGCACTGGTTCGAGTCCCAGCAGCTCCACTTCCAATCCAGCTCCCTGCTAATGTGCCTGGGAAAGCAGCAGAAGATGGCCCAAGTCTTTGGGCCCCTGCACCCAAGTGGGAGACCCAGAAGAAGCTCCAGGCTCCCAGCTTCCGATCCACCCTGCTATGGCCTTTGTGGCAATTTGCGGAGTGAACCAGCGGACGGAAGACCTCTCTCTGCCTCTGCCTTTCAAATAATAGATAAATACATCTTAAAAAAAGAAAAAAGATCTATTTATTTATGTGAAAGTCAGAGTTACAAAGAAAAAAAGGATGGAGAGAGACAGGGAGAGATCTTCCATCCTCTGGTTCACTCCCCAGATGGTCACAATGGCCAGTTTTGGGCCAAGCCAAAGCCAAAGCCAAAGCCAGGAGCCAGGAGTTTCTTTCAGGTCTCCTGTGTGGGTCTTGGGCCATCCTCTGCTCCTTTTCCAGGCCATGAGCAGGGAGCTGGATAGGAAATGGAACAGCTGGGACACTAACCAGTGCCCATATGGGATGTCGGTATCAAAAGTGGTAGGTTTAGGCTGGTGCTGTGGCTCACTTGGTTAATCCTCAGCCTGCAGCGCCAGCATCCCATATGGGCACCGGGTTCTAGTCCCGGTTGCTCCTCTTCCAGTCCAACTCTCTGCTGTGGCCCGGGAGGGTAGAGGAGGATGGCCCAAGTGTTTGGGCTCCTGCACCTGCAAGACCTCTCTCTCTGTCTCTCTCTCTCAATGTAACTCTACATGTGTGTCCCGGCTGCTCTACTTCTGATCCTGCTCCTTGCTAGTGGTATGTTTCGCTACAATGCTGGCACCAAACATTTTCATTTAACTATATTTTATTTGAAAGACAGAGAGATAGAGATCTTCTACCTGCCGGTTTATGCCCCAAATGTCCACAACAGCCAAGGCTTGGCCAGACCAAAGCCAGGAGCTACAAACTAAATTCAGGTCATGGGTGGTAGGGACCCAAGTACTTGAACAATCACCTGTTGCTTCCCAGGGTGAGTATTAACTAGAAGCGAGAATGGTAAGTGGAGCCAAGACTTAAACCTAGGCACTCTCACTTTTTTAAGTTATTCTTTTTTTTTTAAAGTTTATTTATTTGAGAAGTACAATTAGAGACAATGAGAGGGAGATACAGAGAGAAAGGTCTTCCTTCTGTTGGTTCACTCCCCAAATGGTTCCAACGGTCGGAGCTGCGCCGATCTGAAGCCAGGAGCCAGGTGCTTCTTCCTGGTCTCCCATGGGGGTGCAGGGGCCCAAGCACTTGGGTCATCTTCTACTGCTTTTCCCAGGCCACAACACAGAGCTGGATTGGAAGAGGAGCAGCCAGGACTAGAACCAGCGCCTATACAGGATGCTGGCACCACAGGCAGAGGATTAACCTACTGCGCCATGGCGCTGGACCCTTTTCTTTTTCAAAGATTTATTTTTTTTTATTTGAGAGGCGAGCTACAGACAGAGGGAAGGAGAGACAGAGATAGAGGTCTTCCATCCACTAGTTCACTCCCCAAATGGCCACATGACCAGAGCTGGGCCGATCTGAAGCCAGGAGCCAGGAGTTTCTTCCAGGTCTACCACGTGGGTGCAGGGGCCTAAGCACCTGGGCCATCTTTCACTGTTTTCCCAGGCCATAAGCAGAGAGCTGGATTGGAAGAGGAGCAACCAGGATATGAACCAGCACCCATATGAGGTGTTGGCATCAAAAGCGGTGGCTTTTACCTACTACATCACAGTGCACAGCCCCAGAACCCAGGCACTCTGGTATGGGATCTGAGCATCCCAAGCAGCGTCTTAATCGCTGCACCAAACACTGACCCTGTCCTATTGGTATTTCACTCATGCTCTACTCTTGGAAAGAAAAATCAAAGAGGCTTTTGCTTTGGAAATTAACAGAAGATAAGAAATTATGATATGGATGTACCTGTGAATGAGCTGATGGCTCTTAAAAATTATTTGGGGGTAGCTCACATCACACACAAAAATTAATTTTGATAGGTTATGCACCTAAACATAAAACCTAAAATTCAAAAGCTTCTCAAAGAAAATGTAGGGTATCTGTAATCTTGGGATTGGCAAAGACTTCTTGGCAAGTGTAAGGCCGCCACAAAACACACCAAACACTGGAGTAAGGGAAAGAGTTTATTGGGGGAAACCCAACAGACTGGAAGGAAGGGGTGAAGCAGGAAAAGAGGGAGATGGAGAGCGTGAGAGAAACAGACACAGAGACAGAGGTCAGGAGAAGGAAAGAGAGAGAGAGAAAAACACGTGTTCAGGAGCAGGTGCTTTAAAAACTTTGCTGG